CCCCCCCCCCCCCGTCGATCGGCCAATGTCTGGACGACGCCGTTTTTTTAATGCAGTTTGAATTTTTATATAAGCGTCAGCATGTTTTAGCGCACTCGTGTATGTGTCTGTGTGTTTGTCTTTCTTCCTGTGTTTGTGCGTGTATTCGTCCCTGTTTGTTTGTCCGTTGTGTATGTGTCTGTACGTGTGTTTTGCTTGTGTGTGTCTGTGTGTTTGTCTGCATGTCTCTTTGTTCGGTGTGTTGTATACATGTGTGTGTATGTATGCTTATGTCTAAGTATGTCTGTGTATGTTTGTTTGTTTGTTACCGTGTGTATTTGCGCGTACACGGATGCATGTCTGTGTTTTTTTGTGACCGAGTTTCTACGCAGTTCTGTTCTCCACTGTATTCCTGTTTGTGAGTGTTTGTGAACGTGCTCGTGTGTATGTTTGTTTGTTATGTGCGTGTATGTGTATTTTTGGAACTCAGTCGGAAACCAAAGAAATTGAAGGTTTCGGAGAATTTTGGGCCTATGAAATGTCTTTCCCTCTTCTGGCCCATAAAAACTAGACCTACAAGGCTAATTCTACAATTCCAAAACAAAGTAGTATGCCGGAAGCCCAAAATTTTGGCACTTCAATTTACCGCATCAAGCAGGTCTAACAGACTTGAAATTAACTTTTAGGCCCTATTGTTTCGTGACCTATAATGGCACCCCCAAATACGAGTTGGTATTTAAATCCCAGAACGAATCAGGTCAAATTTCAGAAATTTTGCTGCTTTTCGTGCACAGGGTTAATTGAAAAAGAGCTCACAGTGGTCAGAAGCAGAATTCAATAGAACAGTACTGGTCAAATGCAAGAAAATATATATTGGTTCACTGACCATCTGGGCATAAGCGGGTCCAGGACGGACTCCTGGGGGGAGCAACGGGGGTGGGGATGAGAAGGAGAGTTTCTTCCCACTCTGGAACTATGCAGAAACTAGGAACAGAGTTGTAACACTGCTGTTTAGAGTTACTTTAGACTTTAGTTTAAGCTTTAGGTCCGTGCTTTTGTGGCACTGGTGCCTGTACCGAAAGACCCCTTCCCCCCTCCCCCCTCCTCCTCCACCTCCATCCCGGATTCCTCTATGTATTTGGGCTATCGTAACAGCTTATAAACACAATGCGTGCCCGTAGCCGATTCGCCGAATCAAATCGGAGAAGCAGTAGCAACGTACATTCGTCCTGTGGTGCCGTGGAGCCGTTGTCACATTTGATCTCGGGATGCTTGTTGCGGATATGCTCCCACATGCCTTTGGTGGACGATTGCGCATCCAGACGTAGCTCCTTGCGTAGGCAGGTCAGCAGCCGACACTTCACCACACGTTCCGTATCGGCTCGGCTGTAACCGTCCGATTCGTACAGGTCAAAATAGCGCCACACGTTGCTCTTCTTCGGGAAATAGGGCATCGACAAACGTAACCAGGTCCCACTGCTGCTCAGAATCGCCGGAGCAACCTCTTCCGCCGGATTACAAGCGTTTACTGTTGCCTCCAAATTCACGCTCGAATCGTCTGTTGACGGAGATGCATCCATTTCTCCTACAAAAAAACAGTAGATATTTAAGACACACGCGGTAAAATAGGGTGCCGTTGGAAAATCGCTCCCCCGTCATCTTGCACGCATACTTCCCACGTTTTTCCCCAATTCCTCACCCTTGGACTCATTCGGTTTTTCAAAAAAAACGTGTGTTATATAAGAAAAAGAGAGGCACTCGAATTCCCTAACTGTACCTCCCCGTGTAGGAAATCCCCCCCCCAACCCCCTCCCCGCACACATAGTCTCTCCCCTTCTTTTCCCCTCACGCCCTCCCCCTTGGATTCATCCGATTTTTCAAACAAACGTATGATACCTAAGAAAAGGAGAGGTACTTGCATTCCTTTATTTCACTTCCTCCTGGTTTCTACCTTCCTGTATGTGGAAATTATAAGAAAATTTAGACTTCATCCCGTAAGTCA